TGTTATTGTATGTATGTATTTTTCCAAAATACAGGAAACAAATTTATGTGTGAGGTTGTTATCTTTACAACAATCACAAAATAGTAGATCTATTCATCTTGAATAAAGACCAACTGTCGTTGATTTTAAAGTCTTACTTAATGCGAATCAAATTACGTCGACGAGTATTCTGTGTATGTATGGATTTGCTATAATACGACTTGTCTTGATTCTATTTAGTTCAAAAGCATCCCTTTTATATAGAATATAATTTTCCTACCTAAAAACAGTCAATAAACACGATATGTGTGCACGTTTGTCTAAGTTTGGATATGACCCAGTTCTGACCCAGACACTCAGTGCAGAACTCAGTTGCCTCAATTCAGAACTGAGACAGATCTCAACCGAGCTACATGACGTTAAGCATAACTGAAATATGGTAATAAGCGGCTTGATGTCGAGTTAAATATATTCCGCAACCAAAATTTTATACATGGTAGTTAATGGTCTTCGTTTTACGTAAAACTTACTGATTATTTAGTCCATGGTTATGGTTTAATTTAATACAGTAGCGAGCATAAATACCCGACCGCTCCTAGTTTGGGACAGGAACAAGTAGCGCTTTGAAAATTTTATTGCATTTGTATAGCAATCAATCACCTGTAAAATTTCTGCTTGCTCCAAAGAATTTTCCAAACACCGAAGTTTTTATCTAAAGATGTCTCGCGATTTCGGCCATAAAAATTCAGAATTTATATATCGACACTTTCTAACTAAATTTTGTAATTCTTCTTTATTTTAATACACGCTGTTGTAAAATGTATACTCAGTTTCGATAAGTCGACCGAAAATCTTCCAAACATCCAATGCAATGTTTGTCTCTAAACAAAAGATGGCAATCAGCAATCATATAGTAATCTTTTCCGAATGTGTAAATGCATTTTAATATTAATGGTGCAGGGATTGGCAAGGCGTAAAACGTAAAACAGGTCTGCGTACCCACCATTGCTGAGAAAATTAGAGTAGTTGGAGTGGAAACCAGACTGACCAAAGACTCTGGAGACCTCCGATTGGACTGAAATTTACAGGTGATCATAGCGTTTATTTGTTTCTGTCCCAAACTAGAAGCGGGATCTTATGCTCGCTACTGTACGACCATTTGTTGCTTGCTTGATGTCGTATGATACATAACAACTTGTAATACTGAATTCACGTTACCTTTAGAGGTAATTGTATAGAGGTACGAATTAAGAGAGAAGTTTTGCAACTTACAGAAGGTGTTTGTTTATTAACTACAGCTATTTGCGGAAGAATTGTTAGTGAATTCAAATCAAATGACTGGATGGGATGACTGTCGGTGAAATCATTATCAGTGAAAAAACGTTGATGAAATAATATGATTGCTCCGAGAATGACGGTACGGTTTGCTTAACTCATAAGTTAAAACACAACTAATTAACAGATTGTTCGTATCGTACTACATTTGGTATGAATTAAAAATATTTGTTGAGACCAATTCTCGGATTTGACAATGGTGTCGAGATTGTCTCGGTGTCATTACATATATTATGTAGTTCATTGGGTCAAGAGATTATCTAATGTGATCTCAGAATGTGGCACAACATACATGTTTATGGAGTAGTTTAGGAGCATAAAAAACATTAACATATAAGTTAGTTCATTTTATTATTATTTTGACGAGTCTGAAGTTTTCGGTTCTGCGCTCAATTAAATATATTGTTCTGACCCAATTTCAACTTCAGCTCGATTCGAAATAAGTGCATTGTCTAATATTCAAGAATAAGCGACATTTAATTAACATTGTTTATGTGATGATTAGTGATTTGAATTTGGCCTAGAACATTATTAAATAGGTTTATTTTTAAGAGCAACGATAGAGCTTTTAAACAGACATATTGTGATTAGACTCCAGACAATCGCAAACGAAAAGAGAGTTCGAGGAAGCTCTATAGTACGCCCCAATGCAATAGCAATAGTGACTATTAGCGTAATTTTTCTTTAGCGTAATTCCGAATCAACTGTTCCCGATACAGAAGAATAATTAGTTTTAGTATCATAAACATATCGTATGTAAAAGTTGAACGTTTTAATAATACAGCACTTTTAAAATTAAACTGCCCGGACTTGTTTACGAGTTAGACTTAAAAATTTAATTAATAGCAGAATTGCGCATAAAATAGTAGGCGTGTTGTTAAATTGTAGTAAGAAGTAGCTAAAGTCTTAAGTCATACCATGGAAGCGCTATTCACACACAAATATTATTTAATGCAGGCGCTTGCTACCCCTCTAGTTGGAACTTCACTCTTGTGGTACACGTATGCCTCTCTTGGGTATCACCAATTGTATAATTCTTTTGACTGGTGGTGTGACATTTGGAGCGACATTAGTACGACTTGTAACTTATTACATAAATTCGAGGCAAGCCTGTTATCGTTATTCCGTTTACCACAACCACATTTCGAACGATCCATAGATGTTAAGAGAGACATTTAGAAAGTTGAAACTGATCAATGTATACCATAGTATTGAAACAAAAAGTAAAACCGATTTAGAACGAGACGTTCAAAAAGAAATCGAATTATATCAAAAGGCCGCGGCAGAGGGAGATGCTAAGGCACAATATAATCTCGGACTTTGCTATTATGATGGAACTGGAATAGAAAAAAACATTCAAAAAGCTGTTGAACTATATCAACAAGCTGCCGCGAAAAATTATGTCAAAGCCATATATAATCTTGCTCTCTGTTACTATAATGGAATTGGAGTAGAAAGTGATATTGACAAGACAATCGAATTATACCGACAAGCCGCTGAACAAGGAATGGCCAAGGCACAATACAGTCTTGGTACTTGTTATCATAATGGAACTGGAGTAAATCAAGACATTCAGAAGGCAATAAAATTGTATCAGCAAGCTGCCAAACAAGGAAATGCTGAGGCACAATATAAACTTGGTGTATGGTATGACAAAGGGACAGGTGTAGAAGAAAATATCAAAATGGCAATAAAATTTTATAAAAAGGCTGCTGCACAAGGAAATGCCAAGGCACAATATAATCTTGGTGTATGTTACTATAATGGAATTGAAGTAAAACAAAACATTAAAAAGGCTGTTAAACTATATCAACAGGCTGCTGATCAGGGAGATGCCTATGCACAATATAATCTTGGTTTGTGTTATAAAGATGGAACAGGAGTGGAAAAAAATATCCAAAAAGCAATAGAGTTACACCAACATGCTGCTGAACAAGGAGATGATGGTGCACGATTTTTTCTTGGCTTATGTTACCATAAGGGAAATGGCGTTGAAACAGACATACAAAAGGCAGTTGAATTATATCAAAAGGCTGCTGAACAAGGAAATGCTGAAGCACAAAGCAACCTAGGCTTTTGTTATGAACATGAAATTGGAGTAGAAAAAAATTTGCAAAAGGCGGTTGACTTATATCAACAAGCGGCTGAACAAGGAAATGCTGAGGCACAATATAATCTTGGTCTATGTTACAATGATGGAACTGGAGTGGAAAAAAACATAGAAAAGGCTATTGAATTGTACCAAATGGCAGCTGAACAAGGGTTAGCAAGAGTACAATATACTCTTGGTGAATGCTATGAGAATGGCACTGGAATAAAAAAAGATATCCCAAAAGCAGTCAAGCTATATAAAAAGGCTGCTGAACAAGAAGTTGCTGAAGCACAATGTCGCCTTGGTGAATGCTATGAGAATGGCACTGGAGTAAAAAAATATATTCAAAAAGCGGTTAAACTATATAAAAAGGCTGCTGATCAAGGAAATGCTAAAGCACAATATGCCCTTGGTTCATGCTATGATAATGGAATTGGAGTAGAAAAGGATGTTCAAAAGGCACTTGAACTGTATCAAAAATCAGCTGACCAAGGTTATGCTGAGGCACAAAGGATACTTGATGTATACTATCATCATGAAATAGTAGGAGTCTAGCGAGATGACCTTCAAAAGTAAAAAGGCAGTTGTATTGTTATTGTACCAAAAAGCAGTTGAACAAGGACTTGCTGAGATGTATATATTATATTTAATACTATTACTATTGTAATGAAGTAATGAAAAGCAATCCAGCTATACCGGAAATGATTATTATTGCACATGCCAATTATTAATAACAATAAAAGCATAATTGTTCACAGGTCAGGTTATAATAGGTTAACTAAATAGAGGTAGTTCATTAATTGCGTTTGGTAACAAAAGAAATGGTTGGCGTACTAGTACTAGCACGTGAATTTGAGAAATAAAATCATAACGATAAATTGAGAGTATAAGCAAAGTCTTATTACGTTTTGGCATGAGATAATAATGATACTAATTATAAAAAACTTTTATGATAAAAATAATAACAAAGCCTGCATCTATCAGATTTCCACCAGTTATTTATTTTTTCCCTTTATACATTTGGTTTTCAAATACTAATACGGCCAATAAACCGAACTCCAACATCGTATCCAAAATTGTAATGTTCGACTCCAAGGTGGAAAGAAGTTGAGAAGATTGGCAACGCCAAAGACGGTTGAATATTTTCACTATAAAACTTTTATTGTGACCACTCGAACAAAACTTCCATCCGCGTCAAAAATTAACCAACTCATAAAGTCAATCCTGGCTAATGTTATAAATAATGTTGCTAATAACCGAACGCGAAGCGCACCATTTATCACTTTTAAATGTCTTAATGATGGAAACTTTCACAATTGCCATTTACTATATATATATATACAGTATACCGACTACTTATTGGTTTGATCTAGCTTTCCAAAGTTTAAGCGCTAAACTATATTACAGTGTGATTTTCAGCTAGTTGATTAGCTTGAATTCGACCGAACTTACGACCAATTAAAATAAATAGTATGCGCAAGAGAGCTTCAATGAAAAGTTTAATTAGATAGCGGATCAATCAATAATTTCCGTAATGACTACGAGTGTCAATTATGTGCATCACATTAATCTGACACAAAACTTATTCTCAATATTAACAGCATTTAAAGAAAGGTACAGCGCCCTTGACAGGCTCCAATCTTTCACGAATGACGGCCTTAGACCGTCTATTACTTGAAGGATGAACTCCACGCAAACTATCAAATTTACTTTTAAAGTTTTCCGTCCATTTTTGCTTCCTTGTAAACCCACCATATGAACCAGGTGTCATAGCTGGAATGTTACCAATTGTCCTTAGCCTTTGCATAGTCCCATCGTCACTTAAACTTCTTACCTTACCAGGAATTGGTATGGCACGTGACGAAGTACTTTCTTCTGTATCATTAATTTGGTCGTCTTGTCCTGCCAAATCAGCAATATCAATTTCAGTCTCTTCTGGTATTTCAATCTCTACCTCCTCTTCAACGACTATTACATTCTCTTTGTTGCATAGATCAAGTGGACTTTGATCAGGCTGCGTGAGTGTTTCGACTATATTCCATGCTTGTCCTTTAAGAACAGCTATTTGTTTCTTAAACATTCCTTCATCGAAATCATCATCCACTGAAAATAATGCTCTTAAATCTGCAATCGTTTCCTTCCACCATACTTGCGAAGTTAGTAATGATAAGAAATGATTTCTGGTATTTCTTGTAAATGGTTGTCCAACTAGTGAATTGGGCAAGAATAGCCAACCATAAGGATATGACCTCCATTGGTCAGGATGCTTGAACGGAAATGATAGTCCATTATCTATTGCCGCTACATGTACGTGAGGCCATGGTGTTGTAGCTTCGGCTGACGATGAGGAAGCAACAGGTAACAGCAGATTCGTATTGGTTGAGGATGGCGAATTAACGGCACTTAGAGGATCGTCATCCGCGTCGACGGGTGTAATTTCGGAAGTTATGGGCTTTGTTGATTGCGATAAAGGATCCGCGGAAGCGTTGGGTCGGCGCAGATTTGATGGAGCCTCCATTGTGAGTGGTTCGGGTGGTAACGCTACAACCTGGATTGAAGAGTCCTTTTCACAATATTTAATCATCCAGTTGTCCAGACCCCTGTCTACGAATAAATACGTTTCAAATCACATGGCTAATCACAATATACATATACATTCTATAGCAATGTCAATACTTACCAGTATTCCTCATTAAATAATCAAGCAAAACTAATTTTTCAAATTGTTCTCTAAACTGTACTTGTAACTCTTTCGTCCACGCGAATTTCCTTCCTATATGTTCATTATCCATATATTCATTGCCTTCGTCCTCATCACCGTCGCCTCTACATACTAATACACCCAATCTTTTTTTCTTTTTTCCCTTTCCCATTGCCTCGTTCGCTTCAGCCGATGCAGTAATAATATCTTGATTAGTAGAATTTGGCCATGGATAATCGCGCAGAAAAACTTCGGCATCTTTATATCCGTTAAGAAATATTTGAAAAGAGCCAATTTTTTCAGGCAAGGGGAAGGGATTTCCTTTCATTCTTGCAGCTCGCCGGTCGAGATAATCATAGTGAAAGGTAGGTGATGAAAGATGTGTTACTTCTGTAAGCGGAACTATATTAAGATTCAGGCGACGATCGAGAAGAGACGCTGCTGATTCGGACATATAGCCCAAATTAGGAATTAAACTGTAAAACAAAATATATGTGAGTGACGGAAATATGACTGTGGGAAATATGAACGACAGACAAATCATACTATAAACGTATCATTAGCCAACATTCCTATCTCATTCTCTACAGCAAAACTCTACATTTGTAACACCACTCTCACATAACCGATTAAATATAGCCTGTCGCTTACTCGCTCCGTGAAAACGCTCCCATCATTTAATTGAAAAGGTCATTCTCACCAGCTCCGTCCAAAGAAACATGGAAACAAATTTCTGTGTATCCACTTTGTCCATTTGGGATTTAATCGTCCGTACGGTTCCTCGTTTTTGGGTTTAAAGACACCGACAATTTTTCCGTCCACATTTTTACAAAAGTAACTTCCACTCGAACCAGAGCTGATACGTTTCGGATATATACCGTCTCTGATGGCAGATCTGACCGATTCAACTATAGATTTAAATTCGTCTCTTGAAATTGGGGGGCCATGTGCTGAACTCAAGGTATTCATTGGAAGCTTGTGAACAGAATGCAACCGGAAGCATAGAAGAATTAGTGTACGCATGAAAGTGCGGAAACTTGATGACTAAAGCTGAAGTTTAGCCAAAGCCGTTAAAATAACAATGTGTTAATGGGATTTTGCCTAATGCATAATGGTGGTTAGGAGAACGTTGGCAGCGACAATCATTTATTTCCCATTAATAATACATTCAACAGAAGGATCTCAATCCAAACCATTCACCTCTTCTTCTCTACGTTTCTCCTTCGCTTAACCATTCTCTTTTGCTCTCTTGTCGCCTTCATGTCCTTTTTCAACATACCTGCCAATTCGGATCAATACTAACGGGTTGAAAGACCGAATGGAACAGCTCTTTCTCCTTTTTCTTATCTTTATTTTTCCCTCTAAAGTTTGTGATTTTCCTCGAAAACTTCTCCCATTTACTACCCTGCTCATTTTGATCTTCGTTGTCGCTTCCTTCCATGATCCATGCAGGTAAACTATTTGGACGGAAGGATCTTAAACTTGTTTCCCGGAAGTAGTCACGTTGATATTTCGGTAAGGAACGGAAGAAAGAAGGGGAGAGTGCAATGTCGTCATCAGTAGAGTCTCTTTGTTGGAGCTGGACATAACCAGGGTGGTGTGATCTTGGGCTAGATGGCATTTGGATTGTGGGAGTGAATAGGCGTTTACAGACTATTTCAATTGCAATGTAATTGACTAATTTGGGAAGCTGTGTACCGTGATGTTTGCAGGTAGCGTTAGATTAAAGTAAGATGCGATCAGCGGCGATCTGTTAATACAATATCTATTACATTTACTATGCAGTATTAGCATTGGGTATTAGTTGAGGACGGCATTTATGATCGGCCAATCGATTACATAAATGACCATGGAGTCACGTGCTGAAATATCTATAGCTTACAGATTAGCCTGTTCTATATTAATATTCGAGCATGATTCATGGACACAACTAAACTTGTTAGGTACGATATTAATATGTTAGAGGCCGTGCCAGTACTGCAGTATATATGAAAAGATCAATGACATGACAATTGAGAATTGGCGCCTTTCTCTACTGATAAGTTGATACTTTTTTTGGTTAGTGCCTGCGATAGCGTTTACCAGCTCACGTGTATTTACGTTTCTTCTATATGATCGATCAATGACGCAGATTCACTTAAAAATACGCGTGAATTATTCGATATATGATAACTGTGACTAACGCTTTGACGAATCTTGTTCAATTGAACCTAATAATAAAATATGGTTTAATTTTTGTAATCACTTTTAATGTGTCTCGTACGGTTGTTATTCGCGGGCCATGCATGCGGTGTGGTAAGAATCGGTACAAGGACAGACCAGAGGCCGTACGGGACCCGTAAAAATAGCAAACCACAAACTAAAACTGAATGCAATAGTGGGCTGTATGAAATTTTTGAAGTTTTACAGCCGTACATAATAAATATATATTCGCGTACGATAATTGCGCGTGTCATCAAAAGTAATCACAGTTGATTTTATTGCTAGCTAAAATTTGACTAAAAACATTATACAGTTGCTACATTGCGCATGTTAAATAACTCTTCTTGTTTGTCGGGATTTTCAAACATTTCGAATATTTCTTTTCTCTTTTGTACTAGATTTTTTATAAAAACCTGTGTCAATGATGTTGCAGTGGCCAAAAACTTAGGAGGCACCTCATCATTAAAGTATGTTGTGCTTCGTGTCAAAGACAAAACAAGTAGAAACACACATGATTTGACAAAGTAAAAATTAATTGGCCATCTCAAAACAATAAATAATATTTGTAAAAAATTTGGAGCATAAAATAAGATTGCAACAATAACTTCAAATACTGCAAACACAATGCCCCTAATTGGAGTTAAACAACAGCAACAACAGCAGCAGCACTGATAATAGTAGCAACAACAACTTAAACAAGGATAACGCATCATACATAACTCGAGTCGTAATTCTGGTCGAATACATAAAAAAGCTATGATCAAAAAAACCATGGGAACCAATAGTATTATAAATAATGTGAAAAATATTACACTGATTGGATCAAAGACTTGCATATTAATAATATATCCAATCCAGAATGTGGGAATAGCAATACTTGGAAATATCGTTAAGAAAAAAGCAATACCGATAACTCTTTTGCTGTCTTCATTATCAAGGAACAGTTTGCCCAATGTTTTAGGCTTACTTAATGCGATTATTACACACAGAACATGTAAACACATGTTCACAATTGAAAAGCTCTTCACGGCCGGCAAACCATCATAGGCGAAAGTAACTGCCAATGGAATCATCCAAGTTACGGAATTATACAATAAGTCGTCCAGTAATGGCAACAGCCTATTCTTGAGGAATTCAGTTCCCGTCGAGTCTTCGGACCCGGAATTTCTTGAAGCTTTGCACAGAAGAACAAGGATAACTGGGAAGAGCGTGCTAAGAAGTGCATCATACACATCCAATGTCGATTTGTATGATTCATCTACGATTGTTGGCATTGCAACTGGGAAAAAAACGATACCCCGACAGATAAAGCGGACGTATACTGGAATGTTCTTCATTATATCTTGCTACTATACAAATGCATTCAATAATTCAAATTTAACAATTTTCTTGGGTTTCCTATAATTAATAGCTGCACGAAAAATGTGTACTAAGGTGCAGTTACCGTAAAATAAACATGATGTTATAGCGAGAAAGAGACGCAAGGTGTGTTATATTATTTACCTTTGGTATTGGGTTTATCACGAGTGTAACCAAGTAGCTTATCGAGTAAAATACCCACTTGATATAAAATACACCAGACCAGAGTACTTTAGTCGGCGCACCATAGTAACTCGAAACTTGCACTTGACGCATAATGTTATTACATAAAATTACAAAATTTGGATTAAAATTAAGCAAGAATTATTATGTATTTACCATATTAGATAAATTTGCAAATAAAGTTTTATTTTCTCTTATTGACATTATAGTACTTCATCAGTAAGGTATAATTACGTCTAATCTATGTAAATATATCAACCAGTTCTGTAGCAAAACAGGGAAAAAACAGATGCAATACGCAAACTCGATAGTCGACAATGCATGATGAATCACCTTTGTCAAAGAGAACCGACTTATCGAGAGAACTGGCTTGTCTAGAGATTTTGAATATTAAAAGAGTAGGAAAGTTTGAACCCTTCTTAGGCCAATATTAAATAATCGAGAGACAACGCAAACTGTTTATATTCAGAGATTTGAGTTTGGCTTTTGTACCTGGGCAACGATTAACAATAGTACATCAATCTGGGGTTCTTTATACTTGAGCGAAAAATCCACAAACTGATTTTTGAATTCGTTGAAGTAGTTTATTGATAAGATTCGTCAAAAATATGTTACCAATAATTCAACTCTCGTCACGGTATAAGCAGAGGTACATAATGAAAACTTTACGGCAATGCTTTACTCCGGGTGTATTGTACTTGACAGGCCGACCAAGTGAGACAAGTACTTTTGGGCAAAGATAGATGTGAAGAAAAGAATTTGTTTCAAGTATTAGCAGAAGAAC